TTAGGGTTTTACACAGAATTAAACCAAACAACATGAATCAAACATGCACTTTATTTATTTCCACTAAATAACAAAAGTACATCAAAATGATTGAAGCTAAGGGCATACAAAACTGTCTAACAGCATCTTGTCCAGCTGGAGCTGATGCCCCATCTGTTAACTGGGGAATTGCAATATAAGAACGAAGCCTCAGACAGTAAAAGGTTGGAGGTGACACATACACTGCTTGGTCAATGAACTCTACGGTCATTACCCCACGTCTGACGCTAGGGGCAGTCTGACAAATGTACATGGGCGGAACCCCATGAGATACAAGCAATGGATAATTATGGGCTTGAATCGGGTTCCTTGCTTAAAGAGATCAAAGAGTTAATGCCACACCATAAATATGTGGCTCCCGAATGCAGCCTAAATCAGAACTCATACGAACACGGGCCTAAAAACCCATTCATAAACCTAGGATAGATTTATGGGGCTATACAACGAGGGATAGCCCATCTCCCGTCCCCTTAACCCTCCTGTCACGGTGGTAATGAAATTTGATCCGGATCCGGATTTTATTTTTATAAAATTTGTCTTTTCACTCACTTCACAGTCATTGTAGTCGTGTGTTTGATTAGCTTTGGCCATTCAGTTAGCTTGTGTAGAAACAAGTCATTATAGAATCTGATTCTAGCAGACAATTTTGGTTCTAAACACTGCTGCATTTATCCCTTTTTCTCCTTTAAGGATATTGTGGTCTGATATTTTATCCCTAGTTTCAGGCATTAATGTTTATTTTGTTAATGTTAAGAGGTACTCCAAACTGAGCCTTGGTTTTTTTCTAATATATTTCTTATCACAAGAGGTATTCCAAACTAGGCAAGTGATCAACCACCATGGGGAGTTCTGTGGGGTAGGACCTGGGAGTTGAGAGTAATGAAGGGGTTGAGGTATCATATTGGTCATATTATAGAAATACCATAATCCAATCAATTTGATTAGGGCAAAGTATGAATAAATTTGACTGTATGGAAAAAAGCACCCTAGGCTGTTTTAAAAGCTTCATGTGCATGACACGTAGTATGGGTATGGTGTAAAAGAATAATTATAATTAATATATAGAGTGTAAATCTATGTATTTTGTATATATTTACACTGCACATATTTATATTTGTACTCCTTTCAAATTGAGTATGAAACTTCAAAATACATTTTTTTCAAAGTAGGATGAGGTCTTTCAGGATGCCCATTTTGGCCTTCTGAAACTGTGTTTGGCGAAAATCCAAAAGTTGATATAGACGTTTCAAATCGTGACTGTAATATGAATGCTCAACTAATATGGTTTAATTAACGCAGCCCCTCTTAAACCGAAATTGAACAAACGGTTTATTCGGTTTAAAATTGAACCAAATAAATAAAAATTTTAAATGAAAAATAAACCAAAACAAGATTTTTGGTTCAGTTTTTGTTTATTTCAGTTAGAACCAAATTTCAATACTACTATATATATTATATATTAAAAAATATATATTATACAATGTATGTAATAAATTATATATTTTAATACATAATATAATATATTTTATACATATTATATATGTATTATATATAAATATACAAGTGTAGCAGCTTTCTGAGGTGGGCTTCACGTGAACAGTCTAATAAGCTATTTTGGTGAAAGGTCAGGACTTAAGAGCCTACATCCATTGCCAATCAGTCAATTGAAGAGTTGATGGCTATTTTTTGGTTCAATTCTCATTGTTTCTCGTTTTTACCCTAGATGAAATTTTAAAATGGATATGATTGGATAAAAATAGATAGAATGAAAAAATATTGTTATAAATCAAATATTTTTTTTCTTAAAAATGAATTCTTTTCAAATTGACAAGTGCCCTATATTGCTCATTTTTTGGCATAGATGTTTACTAGTGGATGACCAACTATCCTCCAATAAACATTTATGGTGATAGTTTTGTAGACCTAGGGTAGTAGTTTGTTATTGCCAGTATAGAGTTTTTTTAAAGAATGAAAATGAGCAAGATGGACCATGACCATTTTTTCATGCTATAGGCTACCTCAAATTTTGTGCTATGGGCTGATTTTTCATTTTGAAAAAGAATGGGACCAATGGCAAAAAATTTGTAACCAAACACTAATGTTATTCATTCTTGCCCACAAATGAGCAAGAATTAAAAAATGAGGCCCAACACAGCAAACTAAACATGGCCTAGCCTCTTAATCTTCAACTCAACCCTCCCAAACTGGTCCAAACACGCAACAACTATGGACAACAGATAGGGGAAAGCCCATTAGGCAGAGTATCCCAACTATGATAAGTGAGTTCATCGAACCGAATACGCCTTAATCATCTAACCATGGATCATTTGCAAATTGCAAGTTCCATTTCGAAAATTTCAAAACTGTCAACTTCTATGGATTTGGGTCCATGTGATACTGGAGTTTTGGGTGGGGTGGATTCGAGCCGAGCTGAGCCGAATACTTGGCTATTCGAGCTCGGCTCGTAGGAATAGTATTAGGCTTGAGCTCGGGCTCAAGCTTGATTCGAATTAGAGACTTGAGCTCGAGTTTAGCTCGGTTCATAGCTCACAATTTCGAGTTCAGCTTGGCTTGAGATCGACTATAAGCCAAGTTTTTTTTGAAAAATAAAATTATATGTATAAAATTATTATTATTTTTTATGTTTTAGAACAAAAATAAAGAATTATAAAAATTATCTACTATTATAGATATGTATGTATGTACGTATCTAATGTATATATTAAAAATGATTTATTTAATACTAGGCTCGCGAGCCTCATGAGCCGAGATTTATTGAGCTCGAAGCTCAGTTTAAACCGAGCCGAGCTGAGTCGAGCTCAAATAGCTCATGAAAAGCTCGTCTCGTAGCCACCCCTAGTTTTGGGACATCATAAATGGGACCAGATCTAGTAAGCACAACTATCAACAGTTGTTTTTAATCTTTTTCAATGGACACTTAATAAACATTCTGACAATTGTCAAAAATTGTTTTTAATCTTTTTCAAGGGTAGGCTAGGAGTATTTTAAGGGACATGTGTCAAAAATTTTTCTAAGCGCTCATCGAACATGTTTACAATGCTGTGTCTACTTTATCCAAACTTGGGAAGTGTGATCCAACGCTACCCTATTCAACATGGGTGCATCACTTGTGGTCTGGCGCTCAAGTAGCTTGCCTTTTGTTGGATATTCATAAGATTGTGACCCATCATGGGATAGGTCCACAAGATTGGCTTCAGTGCTTACAAGACTGTCTCATGAATGGTGTGAACACAGTCTTGTGAGCACTGAAGCCGATCTCTAAGTCCACTTAATAGAAGAACTCGGATCTCTTGACCATAGCATATTGCTAGCTACACTCTCCAACCACATGTTGAGAATATCAGTGACCACAACACAATCAATGTTTCATTTATGGCTAGGTGATCGTAATCAGTAAGGGTGTCAATTGACCAGTTTTCAGACTGGACCTCATCTAGTCCAAAGTCAATTTATACAGATTAGACAAACCAACAAGACATATTGAATTGGACCTCATCTAGTCCAAAGTCAATTTATACAGATTAGACAAACCAACAAGACATATTGAATTAGACCAATCCGGTCTAAAATATTTATTAGATTGGATTGAACCTGATTGGTCCGTAATAAATTTTTACTACATTGGATTGAATTAAACCTGGTCCCAGGAATATAAGTGTCAATGGACCGGATTTGAATTGACACCAATATAAATTAAAACGAATTTGAAGATATTGAATTGGACCGATCCATTATTCATTGGACCTGGTCCATTTTGTAATATACTCACGTTAGACTGAATCGGATTGGACGAAATCCAATCGAATTGACTCAGCAATGTATTGTGGTTTCAATCACTCCCGTCACTTTGCGATTTTTTTAGGGACACATTTAAGAATGTTTTTTGATGAATGTAAGACATTTACGAAATGGAAAAACCTATGCTGCCGTAAAGACGTGATAAAGGTCAGTCCGGGTGAGCTGGAGACAAAAGTGTACGGGCTTTGCTATCTATTTGGTGGGTCCGTATCGTCTGATGTAGGACATTTGGTAAGTTGGCAAGTGCCATATTTACGTGTCCTCTGTTCTTGCCGTCAGATGTTATCGAACGGTCGGATACCAAGATGTGCGTTGAGCACCTTGTGCAAGATAGAAATCGGATAAGAGGCGCGGCAATGGCATAAAGAAACAGAGCATCCCTCAGCTTGCGGTTGCGGCCTCCGTGAACACGTTCTCTAACAGGGGTCAGAGCTTCTTTGCCATCCGAGAGCGCCGAGTACTTGTAGAGTAAGCTCTCATCATAAACCCTTTCGATTGTTTTCTTCTTTTCCATCTTTATATTTATCTCCGTTGTGTAGAACCCGCTAAAATCCTCTGATTCTGCCTCACTGTACAGTCGTTACTCTAGAAGCCTTCTTTTTTAATTTCTTCAATCTTTGGTTTTTTTTCACGAAGTCTGTAACGAACACTTCTGGGTTTTCCTTTACGAGTATTTGGGTTTAAGTTTTATGGGTAGCAATTGAACAAAAAGATGGACTTAACGGTACCTGCACAACAGCATTATGGAGGGTTTTCGTCTTCAAACTGTGTTCAGAAGGAGAACGCAAAGATAATTGGTTTTGGGTGTAGAGTTACGGTTAGTGTTCATTATGACTTCAGTTTAAGCAGAAGTGGTTCTCTGGTGAAGGGTTTTCCAGGGTACAAGACTTGTTGTTGTGCTTTATCTGCCGATAATGAGGTGAGAAAACCTGATAGGCATCGAAAGAAAAACAGGAATCGGGTTCTAGCGGTTTCAAAGGTGGAATCTATTAGTTCTAATGGTAGACTACCGAGCCTAACCAGAACCCCTAATGGACATCCGGGCAACGGGCACACCTCTATGGTGCCACTTCATTCTTCCTGCAGTTCTGAGGATTTTGAGAGCAACAATCAACTTCGTCGCTTTGTTAGAAATGGAGAACTGGAGGAAGGGTTCAAGTTTCTGGAGAACATGGTCTATCATGGTGATATTCCAGATATAATCCCGTGTACCAGTCTAATTCGTGGGTTCTGTCGTGCTTGTAAGACTAAGAAGGCAACTCGGGTTCTGGAGATTCTGGAAGAGTCTGGTGCTGTTCCGGATGTTATAACCTACAATGTCTTGATTAGTGGGTACTGCAAGTCAGGGGAGATTGAGAATGCTCTACAACTCTTGGATAGAATGAGTGTCGCTCCAGATGTTGTTACATATAACACAATCCTGCGTAGTTTATGTGATAGCGGAAAACTGAAACAAGCAATGGAAGTTCTCGATCTCCAGTTGCAGAAAGAGTGCTATCCTGATGTTATCACCTATACCATTCTGATAGAAGCAACTTGTAAGGAGTTTGGAGTTGGGCAGGCAATGAAGCTGTTGGATGAAATGAGGAGTAAGGGATGTAAGCCCGATGTGGTTACTTATAATGTTCTCATCAATGGAATTTGCAAGGAAGGAAGATTGGATGAAGCAATGAAGTTCCTGAATAATATACCATCATATGGTTGCCAGCCTAATGTGATTACACACAATATCATCCTGCGTAGCATGTGTAGCACAGGAAGGTGGATGGATGCTGAAAAACTCTTAGCTGACATGATTCGCAAAGGTTGTTCTCCTAGTGTTGTTACCTTCAATATCCTTATCAACTTCTTGTGTAGGAGGGGTTTATTGGGCCGAGCAATTGATATCTTGGAAAAGATGCCAAAACATGGCTGCATTCCCAATTCCCTAAGTTACAACCCGTTGCTTCATGGGTTCTGCAAAGAAAAGAAAATGGATCGGGCAATCGAGTACTTGGAAATAATGGTATCTCGAGGGTGTTATCCAGATATTGTAACCTACAACACACTGCTTACAGCTTTGTGCAAAGATGGGAAGGTTGACATTGCAGTTGAGCTACTTCACCAGCTAGGTAGTAAAGGTTGTTCTCCAGTGTTGATTACATACAATACAGTTATCGATGGGCTCTCAAAGATGGGAAGTACAGATCATGCTGTGAAGCTACTAGGTGAGATGCTGGCAAAGGGTCTTCGTCCTGATATAATCACCTACTCATCACTTGTGGGTGGTCTTAGTAGAGAAGGCAAGGTTGATGAGGCAATTAAGTTTTTCCATGAACTTGAGAGATTAGGGATCAGACCCAATGCCATTACTTACAATTCTGTCATCTTAGGCCTTTGTAAGTCTCGCCAAACTGACCGTGCTATAGACTTTCTGGCCTACATGGTGTCTAAGGGGTGTAAACCCACTGAAGCAACATACACCATCCTCATTGAAGGTATAGCTTATGAAGGTTTGGCAAAGGAGGCTTTGGAATTATTGAATGAGTTGTGTGCTAGAGGAGTTGTGAAGAAAAGCTCAGCACAACATGTAGCAGTCAAAATGTAGGGTTGAAGATGAGCTATTTTGAGTTCTATGATTTTTCATTCCCACAAGTCCTAGCTTGTGATTTGTTCAACTTTCCACCACAGTGACATGAAAAGCATCTGAAACATTGAATTTTTTTTGGCATCGAGCTTCTTTTTGCTTGTCATAACAACCGTAAATGAAATTCAAGTTTGATAGATATTTTATGTAAACACTGCCTTTAACTTACTAGTTGTACTTTACAGCTCAAAGAATGTTCAAGAAATTCATCTTTTCCTTTACAGAACACATGTAATGATTCAAGTATTCTTTGCTTTTTATTTTATCTAATGATGTGATGGTAATGCTTTTTTCTATGACAGTATGGTTGTGTGTTTGCATGGTTATTGTTGTCAAAACAGTGATTGCTTCTCAGAGAGTATGTTACCTTATAGAAGAGAATAATATCCTTCCCCTTCCTTTTTTTTTACCGTGGCAGTGAGTTCCTAATCAGTCTCCTTTTGGCTATTTTAGCCCATGTAACTTTGACATAGAGGGAGATGTGCTTTTTCACACATGACGAACTATAACA